TGGGTGGAGAGGAAGGACTCCTCCTCTTCCAGGCTCCCACCTGCCCCAGCGTGTCCGTGCAGGACCTGCTCAGAGACTGATAGGCTCCCTGTTGTTTCTTTAAATGGCCCCGTGGAATCCACCAGGGGACAGGCTCAGGAGTCTGGTGAATGGCCTCCAGGGCACAGCCAGTGGGGCCTAGGAGCACCTGGAGGCTGTGTCAGTCATGGGCCAAAGAGCAAGCGTGGAGGGCAGGCAGCTGGGGAGGGGGCAACAGGGGACACCCAGGGTGCACATGGCCCAGAGCCCGGGAGTGGTCAGACACTGATGCAGCCTGCGCTGTCCCAGCCGGGACTCCTACCTACAGCACAGGGACAGGAACCTGTGCGTGGGAGCCAGGCAGAGCTGACCCCTCCTGCTGACCAGCTGTGTGCTCTCCTGGGTTCCTGAAACCCACACCAGCAGTGGACACAGTAGGGTGCTGACGTGCAAATCAGGAGGCCCCATGGGCTCCCCTCTTAGCCCTGCCTCTCTCATTTCTGAACTGGGGGCTGCGGGAGCACCTCCCCATGGGCTCTGTGTGGAGTAAGAAAGCTCTCTTAGGACCAAACCGACTCAACCAGTGCCAGAAGAGTTAATATGAACTAGGAGTCTTCCTAAGCAGCAATCCCATCAGAAAAGTCCTTGAGTGGAAGAACAGCTGGACTCAGGGATTCTACGTGTCAGCATCCGACTCCTTGCTAGATGCGAACAACCCAGCCATGAAGCTCTAGGGGCTGCAGCCGTCCTGGAAGAATGCCCGATACACTGCTTAATAAACACACGTTCGGCCTTCTGCAAAGGTAAATGCATTTTAGAAAGTTATATTGAACATGGAATGAGTTTTGAACGAATCAATTTTTTTTTTTTTACCCCAACTGCCTGCAATAAACTTGGAGTTAAAACCTGCCCCTTTTGTGGAGATGGAGACACTGAGCCATAAATGTTATTTCTATACTAATTTCCCCAGACCATTTTTCTGGATAAGTAATAATCTCAATTGAAGACACGTTGAAGATTTTCAAACAGTTTTCCTCTCAGAAGACTATTCGGGCTCATTAACAAGGCCTGGACCGCAAGAATCCTGATTTGTGGAATTTTAAAAGATGACCTTTGGGACAAAGACTTGTCTTTGTGCCATCAAATAGGTATTACCTGTGTGAACACACCCTTCTCCCTTCTTCCAGGAGGACGAAAGACAGGGGAGTCCTTTGCCCAAGTCCTTTGATATCCATGTATTATTTATGGGTTTTAAAAATCTCTGCTTTCTGGTGTGGCTTCAGTTACAATCTTTGTTCCCTTCAGAAAACACCCGATTCTCTGAGCTACACCTGCAGAACCTCGGGCCTTTCTGCACCTGCCCAGCTCTGCAGAGTAGACGTGAGTTCTACCTATTGACGCATCTTTGTAAGACTCTTCCCCTTCCATGCCTGCCCTGAAGAACAGTCTCCCCATGAAAGTGTCTGCAAGCTTCCGACGTTATTCACGGTTCAACTGTGCCCCCAAGTCCTCCGTGTGGTGGTGTTGGGAGGGGGGCTCTTTACGAGCAGGGGCCTGGTGGGAAGTACTGAGGTCAGTTGGGGGTGTGCTCTGCAGGGACTGGGCACTCCAGCCTCTCTAGCCAGTGTCTTCCCTTAATCTCTGTCTTCTGCAGCCAGGGTCTGGTCATGTCATTATGGCATGGGAAGGACAGGGAAGTTCACAGACTGGCACTGCTCCCTCCAGGTCCCGGGGCTGCCAAGTGGCTGCATCGTGGCTGGGTGCCAGGGTTTCTGAACTTGAAAACCTTTTCTTTTTCTCCAGGGCAGTTCCTGGCAGCTTACCAGGGCCACCGGAAGGGCTGGCTAAAACCCAGATGGAATTTCTGCCCCAGCAGCTCTGGTGGGAAGAAGGACTGGCTCTGCTGTTGATCCCAGGGTCACAGTGAACCTGCTCCTTGCTCGGCCACTCTGGGTGGAGCAGCTCTGGACTGTGGCATCACGGGCCGGGATGGAGCTGCTCACAGCACTGCGCTAATGTTCAGGGGGCGGGGTGGTAGGCTGACTGTTTCTTATTGAACAAAATATTTCTAAGCCCCGGATTTCTTCAACTGAAACATGAATGAAATTACTCCAACAATCAATCAATCAATCAAAATGTTGGTTCTATGTTCAGGAGGGACTGAAAGGTATGCTCTGGCTCATCTCTCTCTTCCCTGCCCTCTCCCGAGTCCTCTCCCGAGTCCTCTCCTTCCTCTTCCTTCTCTCCCCCTCTCCATCTCTGGCTGTAGGGGAACAGTGCCAAGAGGTTGGGGAGAGGTTGGCAAGAGAGACGACGTGCATTCCAGGGCTCTCAGCCTCTCACACGCTTCAGAGAGTCAGAGAGGGCGTAGGGACCCTGGGAACGGCCCTCGGGGAGCCTGTGGGTGGAGAACAATGGCCCCAGGAGACGGCCACCTTCATCCTTGGAACCCGAGACTGTCACCATACACAGCAAGTGATTAGATCAAGGGCGTGAGATGGGAGGCTGTCACGATTTCCCTGGGCCTGTCCCCAGGAGTGGAAGAAGGCAGGAGCCTGGCCCAGAGGGAAAGGAAAGAGGTGAGCGCAGGAGGCACTGCCCACCACTGCGGGGTCTGAAGACGGAGAGAGGGGCCCCAGAGCACAGGCTCCACCCAGCCCTCCCCCCAGGGGGGAGGCCCAGCTTCCAACAATGAAGAGAGCCACAGCTCTCTGGGCTTGCAGAAAGGCAGGGGCCCTGACCACCCCTGCGTGTCCGCCCTGCCCCACCAGGCTGGTCAGCTGCCTCCAGAAGTGTAAGGCCAGGAGCGGCCTCTGGGGCCCTCAGTTCCTGGTAGTCGAGGCAGCACCTGAGAAGGAATGGAGAGGCCAGGACCATGAGGGGCGCTGGGCTGCCCACTGGGCTCACCGTCTCCAAGTGGCCGCCTGTCCTCCGAGGCGCCTCAGTCGGCAAATGGCACCCGCACCTACTCCTCCAACCGTGGCTCTGGGCCAGTGCCCACCCTCTCCCTGCTCCCCTCTGACTCTCCTCCACCTGGTGACCCCCTTACCCTCGAGTTCGTGAGATAACCTTGGTGGGTTCCACAGTGGTGACAGCCCCCACTACCTGTCTTCCTGTGCCTGGCTTCTGTCACTGTATACAATGTCCTCCAGGCTCACGCAGATGGTCATATATGACCAGATTCCATTCTTTTTTTGTGTGTGTGGCTGAGTAGTATTCCATTGACTACAGTCAGCAAGGATGTTTTTAAAGATAGCCAGATGAAAGGATTTTGAATGTTCTTATCACAAAAGAGCTGACAAGTGTTTAAGGTGGCGGATGTGCTGATTCCCCTTGTTATCAGATGTGCATGTGTTTCAGAGCATCACACTGTGCTCGGTTAATATGTTAGATTAAAATATAGCAAGAAAAATAAAGTGGAAATAACAGTACAACCAACCTCATGGAGTTGCTTTGTTGGTTGAGTAAGATAATCTCATAAGGTAGGTAGATCAGTGTCTACCACGTTCTGCCAAAGAAAGTTAGATTATGAAGAAGAAAGAAAAAAAAAAAAGAAGCAAGTCCTTTGAGTTTTTTCTTTTTCTTTTTTTGATTTTTAAAGTAGATAAACTGGGTCAGAAAAGAAATGCAGCTTGGCTAGATGTTACAAGCTAATTCAGTTTTGAGGCCTTTTGAGAGTCTTATTTTCATCTCTATAAAATTGTATAGCTATCCCACTCCTTGGTTTATACTCAAAGGACTTAAAATCAGCATACTATAGTACACAGACACATCAATGTCTATAGCAGCTCAATTCACAAAGGTAGACTCTGGAACCAAGCTAGGTGTCCCTCAATAGATGAATGGATAAAGAAACTGTGGTATATATAATCAATGGAATATTACTCAGCTTTAAAGATAGTGAAATTATGGAATTTGCCAGTAAATGGTTGGAGTTGGAGAATATCATGCTAAGCAAAATAAGCTAATTCCATAAAACCAAAGGCCACATGTTTTCTCTAATATGCGGATGCTACTTCACAATAAGAAGGGGGAGGGCGGGGGCCGGACTAGAGAAGAATAGCGTGACCTTAGATTAGGTAGAGGGAAGTGATGGGAGGGGAGGGGAGGGGATGTGGGAATAGGAAAGACAGTAGAATGAAGCAGATGTTATTGCTGTATGTACATATGTGACCGCATGATCAATGTGATTCTGCAACATGGACACTCATGAAAATGGGAAATCATATCCCATCTATGTATGATACATCAAAGTGCATGAATGCATCCTACTGTCATGTGTAACTAATTAAAACAAATTTTTTTTAAAAAAAATTCAGAGTGGGGAACACATACACAAGGGCACTGGAAAGGGAAACACGAGGCCACAGCTTTTTATCTCTTGAAAGAAAAGGCATGTCGGGGGAGGAAACACGAAACTTCACTTTAAGATTCCACTTCCAGATGCCTCCACCGTGTGACATTCGGAACACGGTCGGGCCCTTGGCCTCTGCGGCATGTCACAGGCGCAGCGCGTTAACACCGGGCTCTTTCTCTATTAAAAGGTTAACCGTGTCGTTCCCCAGGTCTGCCTGTTTCCTGGCTCCCAGGTATGGAGATGTGATTTCTCTTTCTCATCCCTCTTTCCTTTCACGCAGAAAACCTTTACCCAACACGTTTCTGTCCTTCTCGCTCTATTTCAGTCTCTCAGGACACACAGAAGCTTGGTGCCGAGCTCTAGCTTTGCCGTCTGCCAGGCTTGCCCACGGGCTGCACTCTTCTCCTCCACATTGGCACCTGCACCTGTGCAATGGGGACCGTGGGGGACCTGGGGGAGCTAAGAGGCCCTCGGGATGCCCTCGGCAGAGGAAGTCCCCCCATCTGTGGGTGCAGTTGTTCCTGCCTAGCACGCTCCCCTTGGGGGTCTGGATGCCTGACATCTGACCCGGGGGGGCAAGGTTCAGGTCCGGCATCTCCTATGTTAGCAGAGGTCAGGGTCTCCTGACCCTGTCAGCTGACCTGTACCCTTCAGCTTCTGGCCTTCCTGCCGTGGGTCTGCTGCTCTTCTAGAAGTCTGCCCAATTTAAAATCATCATTCCCACACCATGGTCTGAGTATTCAGGGGTCCAAGTGGTTTTTCTCCAATTATCTAGCCTTGCAGTTGTGGAATTATTCTTTACACATTGTTTTATTAACATAAAATCATTTTCTAACTCACTGTTACAGTAACAATGATTATTGCCATTGAACTGCAATTCAGGGCGTCTCACGGCGTTTCAATGATCATCTTTATCTCCCCATTGCCAATTTTGCTAATGATGCATGAGGGTGCATTCATCACCCACTCCTTGACTCCAAGTCCTCTGCAGCAGAAGCAGGGAGGCAGGAGTCTGGGGAAGGACATGTTCTTAGAGATGGCCTTGTCCCCATCCTCAGCTTCTGTTTTACCCCACACTGTTGCCCCGCACCTACCCAAGGGCCTGTGAACAATTCTCAGGTGTGAGCTCTGGAGACCTCCTGGCGAGTTCTCTCTGACTTGACAACTGCCCTTCTGGGAAAGGCCAAGGTCAGCCTGCTGGAGAACTGTGTGCCTGTGGGTCTGCCCAGGAGGCCGGACACCCAGCCGTCTGAGCTTGGGTCTTTCACTCCTACAGAAAACCTGCGAGAACCTTTTTCAGGGAGGGATGGTCTCTGAGTCTGGGGTTTCTCCACAGACAAGGATCTGAGTGAGGGAAGTTCCCAGGAGCAGACGCGTCCGTCCGCTCTGGGGCAGGGCTGTGGGCCTCTTTCTAGAAACAGCCGTTGTTCTTGGGTCCACACGGTCTTGATCCACGCGACTTTGTGGCTGTCGGCTGCCCTAAAGCTGCTCCCAGAGCCCCTTCTCCTGGAATCAGGAAGCATGTGCCTCATTCCTATATCTTAGATAAGATTCTCCGAAACACCCTCCAAATAACTTGTCCAGTCCTTTCTGCATGACGGCATGACAGAGACTTGATTTTCCTGGTGGTGTGAATGGGACAAGGTACGGGGGAGGGACAGAGGAAGGGCACAGCTGGCCCACAGACCCTCAGGAAGCCAATATGCAGGGTGTGGAGGGGAGGACCCACGGGCCACTTTCGTAGAGAGGTGGGTGGGTGCAGGACAGAGCCTGCAGTGCTGCCCCAAGTCACTTTTAAATTAAAAAGCAGCAGGAAACAGAGCTGCTTGGGCAAGCACAGGGTTCTGCCTCTTGTCATCAAATCAAGGGCCCAATGTGGTGTCACTGGGGTCTTCTTTCTGTGTCTCCTAGAAGGTGAGGCAGTCCAGGAGGGGGGGCACCTTTGAAAGGAAGATGGCAGGAGGGTAAGGGTGCCCTTTGTGGGTGGACTTGGGGACAGTCGTGGAAGGCTGCTGCAGAGAGAGTGTGAAAGCCGGACAGACACATCCCGGACCTCTTAGCACAGGGACCCGGGTGTCCTCTGCTGGTCCCCTGTGTGACCGTTTAATAATGCTCTTCTTAACTTGTGGTCAGTGATTTCCTCTCTCTGTGCTGGGAAAGGCTGCACTTTGGGGACCAGCTGGCCTCTCTCCCTGGGAGGGTGGCAGCATCCTCAGTCTTACTGCTTCCTGCCAACTCATTAATGCCCCAGCCCTCTGCAGGTCAAGTCAAACTCCAAGCCTGTCTGGGCTGCCGGACTCCTCTTCTGACTCCCGGGGCACTCGGGGCTCTCTTTGTCCTTCATTTGTCCAACAGACATTTTTGAGCATCTGCTGTGTGCCAGGCACTGGGGCTGGAGATGTGAGCAGAGTCCCTGTCCTGGGGAGCACTCATGCCAGCCAGGAGACAGACAGGGAGGAGCAACGTCAGAAGGTCATAAGGTGACACAAGCTGTAAGAGCAAGAAGCCCAGCTCGGCAGGCAGCGGGCAGCAGACTGGGTGGGTAGAGGACTTCTTGGAAAGGTGAGAGGCCAGGGGAGCAGAGGAGGAAGGGAGGGAGCAGCTGGCACCCAGAGAGCCGCAGGCGCGCTGCGCAGTGGCTGGGGGTCTTCAGAGCTGCTGGGGGCTGGTGTAGCAGGAGAGGTGCAGGCAGGGCTGGGGTGTGGGAACGGCCTGAAGAGGATGGCTGCAGGCCACGGGGGAGTCTGCAGCTGTAGCCCAGCGCT